TTGTTGTTTTCATGTTTATTTCTGTCTCTCTTCGTATCTATATGATTTAATTGTCCAATTGATGCTTAGGGTTTTTAATTGCAGAATAATAAACGGGGAATTTGTTGATGCTTGTGGTCAATCTGTTGTTGTTTTCATGTTTATTTAACTCCATCGTTACATTTTGTTCGTGTTAAACATTATGTTTGAATAATAGAGTGGTTTTGTTTATCAAATACGTAGGAGGATTAGATATTTCTCATTTGTGTTGTAATTTTTTTTTATCTAATAGTTTTTAGATATGAGCATGGTTTGGTTGCTTTGTTTTTTTAAGCTTTTGCTTGATTCCTTAGGTTTTAATGGCCTGTTTCATTCTATTTTTTTTTTTAATGTAAATAATCCTTTAGTTGAATTTCGTTTTAGGTAAAGTCTAACATATTAGATTTATATTAGTTGCTGATATTTGATGTTTACAAATGTAGATGAATAGAGGTCATTATTCCAGATTTGTAAGCAATAGAGGAGGACGGTCTACTGCTGCCACAACTTCACGGTTGCCACACACCACATCAGTGTCACCGACGTCCACTCCAGTTCAAGAGACTGATCAGTCTACTGCTGATAGTCCTCCACCACAAGCTCGAGCGCATTACGATATGGGTCAGCTGTTGCTAGACGAGCTTCTTGTAAGCCTGGGACGGTCTGGACTTACAAAGTTAGACCCTAAACGTCCACCAAAAATACATTGGTAAGTTTTTATACTTCTAGTTTATTTATTATGAAGTTCAATGAATTTTTTTTATATTAGTACTAACTTTTGCTGTTTTCTGTAGGTTTGAAATCGATAATAATATTGGGAAGGTGGTATCAAACTGTATTGAAGGTTACTTCACCGAACCTCACGCTAACATCTCACAGACGCCTCCGGGATATTCTGGATACTTGGTTTCACATGTTTGCGGTACAACTGTATTCCTAAATTTTAACAAATTTTAAAGAAACTGTATTCTTAAGTTTATTTTATTTCTTTGATCACAGCAACAATACAACTGGGACAACTCAATTGGGGCTACCGTACGGATGCTTTTTGAAAAAAAAGTGGCCACCCGCTTGTGTGATATAGTTTGCAAGTGGAAACTTAAGTGGAGGGACATAGGCGATGAAGCTATGCCTGGGTGGATGGATCCAGAAGTATGGAAGGGCCTCAAAGTTTTTTGGGTTGATCCAAAGTCTGAAGGTCGAAGCCAAAGCTGTTCAGTTTCTCGCAACACTAGCGTGGGCGGTCACGGGCCGAGTAGACACACCTCGGGGCAGAAGACTTTTGCTGCTCGCGCATTAGATAGTGTAAGTCTTTCAGACTTTACATTTTATTAATAAAGTTTCTGATTCATGGTTATTGTTTAAATTTTGGTGTTAGGCTGAGAAGAATGGAGGTGTACTCCCTCCAATTGTCGAGATCATGGAGCAGACTCACAAGAGAAAAAATGGAACCTTTGTTGATGGTTACGCAGAGAAAATATGCAACGATGTCTCCGCCAAGATTGCAGAGCGTGAGTCTCAGCTTTCTCCGGGTACTTCTGACCACCATGGTGGCTTATCGACGGCGGAGAAGAATGCCATCTTATATCAGGTATAATTTTCCAACTCTTCTTAGGTTATATATATGCACCAACTTGATTTCTTCTATCGCCTATTTAATATTTAATACTGCTTATGTTTTTGTGGTGTAATGAATACTATACTATACATTGAATCTTTTCCAATCCTCATCATCACGTAGCATCCAACAATAGCTCTTTTATTACTATATAGATGTATGTCTTTCACCATTTTGGCTATTTGTGGTTTTGGTAACATATGCTATTATTGGTTCTGTTGTGGTAATATGCATCTTTTTCTAGGTTCCCTCTTTTACAACGCAATCCTTTTCAATCTTCTTCTTCCTTTTTTCTAATTGATTTTCCTTCAACATGTTTTTTTCCCAGACTGCTCCGAAGAATAAAAAGGGACGGATTTATGGTGTTGGTTCCATTCAAGTAATACCAACAGTTTCATCCTCTGCTCCTACGCCTACAGAAGAATCTGCCGAGCTGAGACAAAACTTGGAAGCGGAGAAGAAACGGAATGCTGAGCTTGTTTCACGGATAGAGGGGTATGATCATCTCTTCGGGATTCTCGCACATGACTTCCCAGCTTTAGCAGCAGCGCTTAGAGCTCAGAAACAACCTACAGAGACAGCACCAAACCACACAGATGAAGAGCTAGCACGAAACAACACAAGCGACGCACACAATGAGACAGATTTCGAAGACGCAAGGACTGAAGCTGCGACAGCACACTTATCTCCTCATGCATGATTCCAAGCTTTGTTTCTTTCTCCTGTATATTCAAACGTTAATCCTTTTTGGTGGAGCAGCACATAACTCCTTAAGTATATATAATCTACTTCCCAAGCTTTTGCTTTTTTTGCATCTGCAATTAAACGTTTATCTTTTTGTTTTAATATCAAACAATTATATTTTTTAACTCCACTTTTAATTTCGAATAGGAATTTTAATTTTGAATTGAAATTTTATTTTGTGGTTTGCCTGGTGATAGCGACGAATTTGCCTGGCTTTCCTAGTCGTTATTTTGCGACGAATTTGCTTTGTTATTCTAGAGAAGCAAATTTGCTTGGAATAATTCCTTGCTCTGTCGCCGCAGTTTTGCTTCGATATAAGCGTCGCATTTGCGACGATTTTCTAGAGTGGAATATGCGACGCCATTATTATCGTCGCAAAATAAGCATCGTAATTGCGACGGAATGTTAGAGTGGAATTTGCGACGATTTTATTTCGTTGCAAAATTAGCGACGAAAGTGCGACGTATTACGATTTGCTTCGAACGATTAGCGACGAATACGGCCGCGTCGCTATATCCAAGCAAAAGTCAGTTTGCGACGAGAGTGCGAGGAATTAGTGCCTCGCAAAAGGCCTGTTTTCTTGTAGTGTTTTCACTATGAAATTGTTTCACTTCTTTTGGTATCAATATAGGTAATCATGCCCTAATATTTTCTTGTTACACAAAGAGTGATTTGTGTAAAAACAAGCTAATGATCAAATGAAACTTATGCATATTTATATATATGCATTAGATTATATATTATACATTAAATATACAACTGAATATACTTTTAAGTTTTGCTAAATCTTTAACTTGAGATAAATATTTCAAATCTATTGTGATAATTGCTTTTCCAAGTTCAATGCTAATGTCAGTCAATAAGTAATAATCACTTATAGATAATAATTAAATTTTCACGTCTTTTAAGAATCAAACGTTTCATTAGGGAGATATAACTTCAACAACGATTCCTTCGTCCCTGTTCACTATCTTCGTCCCTGTTCACTATCTTCCCTACATATATTTCAAAATTTCTCTTTGCTTCTCCACGGAAACCCTAAATCATCAAACATTTTCTGTAAAATCTAAAAGTTTCTTTAACCATGGAACCTCATCACTACCTATCTGATTTGAATGTTCACTCAACAAGATAGTTGGTCCATGTTAAGATCTTAAGCATGTGGAAAGAACCGCTGGTGAATGGTAAGGTTGAGACTAGAATGATCTTGGCCGACGAAAAGGTATAAAGTAACTGTCAGAGGATTGTCTACTTTCACTTTTATACAAATAGTTTATTTTGGGATTGAATTACTTATGCATGGAAATTTATAATGATTTTAGGCAAATAGGATCGACGCAACTATTCCAAATCGCTATTACAACTGGAATTTCCAGGCTTATCTGAAACCAGGCCTATGGTTTCGCCTGTCTGACTTTGAGGTTCTGCGTCCTCAAGAGAAGAAAACCAGATATTATTGCTTCCCAGTTGTAATCAAGTGCATCGCTGACACTACTATGTGACCTATTAGTGTTGTGTGCCCTTACAGTTTCTATGATTTTGTTTATCCAGAGACTGTTGAGTTTGCCCAGGAAGATGAGAAAGAGTTTGTGACTGGTAAGGGATTTTCTTCTCTTATATTCATTGTTAGCTGATCTTAATCTTACTATAAACTCTAATTTTCTGTTTATATCTGTTACTTAGACGCTATTGGTGTTGTCAAGGCTGTGACAACTATAAGAAAGTTCCCTTATGTCTGTCGTCTGGAAGGGACAGATTATGAGTCTAGATATGTGGCGTTCAAGTTACTGGACATTGAGTAAGTTTCACTTCTATGAAGTTTTTATCATGTGTTGTTAATTATCCTGTCATCTGCAATTTTTTTTTAACATAAAAGTATTGTTTGAACACCGTATAGGGGTAAGGAGATCAAGTGTTGTGCTGTTGGTAAGTGATGTGAGTTGTTTGTAACCAAATATGCTCAACAGATCAGTTCGGTTACTTACAATTATGAGCCTATAATTGCTGTTCTCCGGGGCTGGCGAATCTCAGATGTTTTTGGTAAGTATTCCATCAGGACATGAGGCATTGTAGGTTTATCATTTAAAGGTAGCAAATTGCATTTCTATATCTGTCTACTTGATCCTTGAACTAACTAAACTAAGTACCGATAATTTTCTTTGTACTTAACTAGACAGCATTTACAATATATCTTCAGGTACAAATGTTTTAATGAGTGAAAATGGTTGTTCCCGTATCTACCTAAATCCAAGGTTGCCTGATGTAGATATCCCAAGATACATGTAAGTTTATATTACACATATGAACATTAGACAGAAACAAGCTATGGCTTATGCTAAACTAACATTTTGTTTATTTGTCTACAGTCTTGATTTCACTGAGAAGCAACGACAGGATGTTGAGGATGTGATGATGGAGGTGGTTGAAGAGAAGTAGTAGAAGAAGAAGGTGTTTGGTGGAGGACCTAATCCAACCTTGATGTTTTTCTATTTCATGTTTAGGATTGAACTCTGTTTTTTTTAACTTGAAACAATTGTTACTATATTATGATAATATGGGTTGGCTGATATTTAAAATTGTTACAATTGTCATTAAACCAGTTTACACATAAACTCAAGACCTACACTCTTCCCCATAGCCATACAATTGAGCAAAGAATAACATAAGCAACACCTACTGTCTTCATGATCTTCTTACTCATCGCATCCTCCATCTTCTTAAAGTTTATGTTGTGGAGCTTCATAGTACCCATCACTTCCATCCTCAAAGCATTGACATCTTGTGCAACTAACTTACACTTCTCCTCCACCATCCTAATTTCTTCTAAGAGAGCTTCATCAACCCATTTGAACAAGTGATCCTCATTTTCCCTCTATACACATGGCAGGGATCAATACTCCATCTACTTTTTCAATTCAATTCAACAATTTGACTGAATAGAAAAACATACCTTCATTGCAATCACGCATCGATAGAACCTCCGGTAAGGATTCTCCTTCGTTTTCGATGTGAAAGTTGTGATATCCTCTCCACACCAGCATTTCGACGGGACACCATGAGGAGAAAAACATATCGCCGAACTGGAAGCGGATGAGTTGTGCTCATCGTCTCTGAAATTTCTGAACTAGTTTGTTGTGCTCATCGTCTCTGCAATTTCTGAAATTTGGTTCGTTTGGGGAAGAGTTGTGGAATATGAACCCTAAACCCCAATCGAATTTATTTTATATACAAGAATGACGTCGTTTTTTTGTTTGTTTTGCGAAATAAAGAGAAAAGCCCCCACGCCGTCATTTTAACTCTCGGGTCATATGTTATCTTACAGTTACTCTTACTCCTAATTTGGTTTGAGTTTTCAACTAGTTATAATATAACTGATATCTTCCAACCCTAATAACATAAGCAAATTTGCGTATATTGGGAAGAGACTAGATACAACGATTCTACGAATTGACGGAATTGTTGAAACATTTCTTTATTTATGTGGGTGGGCCCGGATTAAGTTCTGGTCGGGTCAAACTAGTGTGAACACGACAATTTATATTTTGTGGGGTCACTGACAACTATATATTGTACATAGTTGTATCTAGATGTCTTCTTGTCCTCATTCCTTCATAGTTGAACAAAATGATATTTGGTTATTTTGAAGTTGAACCTTGAAATCCAAACTATTAATCTAGTTGGTCACATTAAATTCCATATTATATCCGTTTTTAATCAGTTTTCATAGGAAAATATTCACTATATCATTGTTTCACTTCTTTTTGCATCAATATAGGTAATCATGAACTAGTATCTCCTTGTTACACAAAGAGTGATTTGTGTAAAAACAAGTTAATGATCATATGAAAATAATAAATATTTATATATTTATATTACATTATATATTATATAGTAGATGTTCTAAGTTTATAGATTAAAATTGTTATTAACGTTAAAAGATTATAAATTCTATTTTATCTTTTAAAGATTTTAATTACATATAAAATTAAGAATTTTTTTTTTTTGACATCTTTGGATCGACAAGACCCGATCCATAGCCAATCCCTACTACGCGGGGTAACGCGACTTAGTGGAGTCGAACTCCGGTGGGGAAGACGGAGTCAAGTGGACTTAACCACTTGACTAAAGGCACATCCCCATAAAATTAAGAATTTAAACTCCTCTAATTTGTACTATGTGAACCAGGAAAATAAATCATACAAATAAACATGGTAAACTAAGTACTTGGCCCAATCGAACCAAAGATTTATACGGTTGGGATGTTTTAAACAAATATTACAAAGTAGGCTTAGTTGTCCCGGTTGAACAAGGTACACCACCTCACAATTGTCCTTGTTGAACCACGAAATCCCGGACGTCTTATTGGGCTTTTAATAATGTATTAGTCTACTAATTAATTGCACGCCACAATAAGACCCAGCCCGTTAAGGCATAAACCATTCATAATAAGGTGAGTGTAACTGAAGAGACAACCCAAACGGCAATTATTTAGTTTGTAATAAATCGGTGGTTACTGTTCTTCGCCGGAAACACCATTCATAATAAGGTGGTTACTGTTCTTCGCCGGAAACACCATGGATCAAAGTACTATTTATCATTCTTCCTCCGCACCGAACTCTCCTGCTTCTGAACCTAGTACTCCCATGCCGCCTGATTCTCCCAAATTTGACGTGCAGCGGTTTCATCGGTGGACTGGGTGTTCGCAGCCAGAAGCGGGATTCCCTCTGTCCGAACAAACGTCTCCAAGTGTGCAGCCTATATACCCCTGGGATAGAGTCCCAATCAACGGGAACGGACCGGAGTTTCAGCCGGCAGGAAGAGATTTTGTCCCTGGGAAAATTACTTATCCAGAGACTTTCTTCGCTCGTTGCCCACGAAGTGTCTTCACTAAAAACCAACATTGGGTCGCTAAGGTAAGTGTCTCGATCTTGAAAGTTATGGTTTTTGTAACATTGGTTAATTGCGGTTTAGTTGTTTGAGTTGTACCCAAAAAGTTAAGATTTTTATGACAATGGTTAATTGAATTTTAGTGATCTAATATGTAACTAAAAAATTATTGTTTTTTAACAAGTGTTAGTTGAATTTTAGTTATTTGAGATGTAAATCCAAAGTTAGGGTTTTTATAACATTGGGATATGCATGTTAATTGAATTTTAGTTATCTGAGATGTAAATCCAAAGTTAGGGTTTTATAACAATGGTTAATTGCGGTTTATTTGTCAGTTGGAGAATCAACATGAGGCCTATCGCAAACGCCACGCCGAGCTGGTTTAGCAGATGCAGGACATGTAGAGAGGCATGAGGCGATTAGAGGCACACCCGAAAGATTGTCTCCGTTACGAGTTCGACAAGCTTGGGGACATGTCCTGGCCTCTTAGGTATTACTATGCAACTCATGATGGAAGTAGCTGTGAGTTCAGATTAACTCCACCGGACGCTGTTGATAACGTTACAGATGAAGATGACGAAGATTCCTCCGATGGAAGTAGTTTCGACTCTCATCCCGATTCGCTGTTTTATTAATTATTATGTGTTTGTTTTTTGTTGGTAAGACTTAATCTAGTAATTATTTATTTATCCAGTTTATGTTCTAAATTATTAAACCTATTTCGATAAATATTCTTATTTATTTCTAGCAATGTAAAGGTATAATATTTGTTGTAGTTGCTAAGACTACATCCTTTTATTAGACAATATAAGACCACATATTCTATATTAAAACAAAAAGTTAAGCTTAAAACATCATTTAATAAATAACGGAGGGAGTAATAAAATTTCGAAGTTGAATATAGATTAACGATTTGATTTCCAGCCTATCACCTTGACTGTGTCTATTTATCATTACCTCTACAACTCTGCCCTCTTAGTACGCTATCATTACCTAGTAGTAGCTACAAACCTACTTATCTTAATGCTTGTCAACTGCGCAAGTCACTTCTCACCAATTGCGTCAAATCTAATTAATTTTAGTTGAGTGTATGGGTTCAGGGTTTAGAGCGGAGAACATTAGACACCAACTGCCGCTTAAAGTTTATCGTATGGGCCATATATTTTGTATGGGCCATAATTTGGCTTGCCCTTAGTACGCTCGGTCCAACTAAGTCCAACTGTCACCTCAAATTAATAGATCGGAAGCGTCTAGGCGTGGTGACTGTTCAATATTTAAAATATTTCTCGCAACAAGAGACTTTCCAGTTCCCTCAGACACATCACCGGAGAAAGAAATGGATCCCCTAGGCCAGTGGCTAGATGACAAAGATATCGACAGATGGTCGCCTCCATCCTCAAGGACGGCGTCGTTAGACGATACTCCACCTTGCTCCCCGCGCTCTTCATCCGGAGGATCAGACGCCTCTTCCGACGACTATGTGCCTTCAAGTGGTCCCGATACGCCGCTGTCATCACCGGCGAAGGGATCAACCGACAGCTCTTGTTCAGAGAAATCGGGTTCTTCGCAGGAGGGTTTTTCACAATCCTCTCCTCCTCCATCCTCTGAACAAGAGATGTCCCCACCGGCGGTGGCGTATGCTGATGAGGCCGAGTCGAGTCGTCGCGTCAGGAGGCGTATTGGTGAGCCGGGGCCTCGATCATCCCCGCGACATCTCGGTCCACAAAGCCTAACAATGGATACATTGAGTATCCAAGAAACTGTGGAGAAGATTGGACCGGAAGGTAGAGATTTTATTCCCGGAAGGATTTGCTACCCACACGATTTTCTCACTAACTCCGATGGTCATGTACGGGCCAAGACGCAAGATTGGCTTGCAAAGGTTAGTATAATGTTAAAAGTTGTGAACTTTTTAGGGTTTGAGAATTGTTTTGATTGATTGTGTTTGTATGGGTTAATCTTCGTAGCTAATGGACTTATAGGATAAGTGTATTGTTGATTATTGAATAAGTATATGAGATATATTGATTGATTTTGGCTATATGTAATATTGTGTGTTGTAGTTGGAGGCCAATCATGCGGAGTTCATTAAGCGTCACGGCCAACTTGTTAAGGAACTGGAAGACTTGGAGAGGGGAATTCGGGAGATGGAGGCTCACCCGAAAGATTGGGTTAAGAACGGGTTGGACAAAGTTGGACCCATCCCCGATGAGCTCCGTGAGTATTGCGTCACTCACAATGGGCGGAGCTGCGAAGTCTCATCCTCTGGAGATGAAAGTTGATTATTGATGTTTCTTTATTGTTGTTCCTTTTGGTTTTGTTAAAAACTTAAGCTTCTTTAAATTTCTATTTGTCATGTTTTAAACAATTTAACTAATTTTATTACTTTTGGTCATGTTATAAACTTATGTTAATTACAATATTAAGTTGTTGGATTTAGTTTGTTGTAAATGTCTACTTCAAACACAAGTTTAGAGAACTTGTGCATGTTTTATGTATATTGGTAAATGTGTTACTTTAGTTTCTTATGCATGCATAAATTGGTATCTTGCTTGATGTGGTAATTTTTAAGACAACTCATGAGAGCAAGCCCAATGGGCAGTCCTTAAAAGATTTTAGGACTGAATTCTTATGAAAATAGGCCAAAAATAAATAAAAAATATGAGAATTGTTTAGGTCCGTTCCTTAGTTTAGGTTTTTTTCTGATTGTAAGAGACGCATACGTGGCACGATTTAATTCGTTGGTAAACAGAGAAAACAAAAAAAAACCTTGGACTTAATAAATAACCTTGGACTTAATAAATACCATCATTTTTAGACCACAACATTACAGTCACAATTTATTAACCTCACCAACTAATAACTTTGGACTTAAGAAATACTCTTCCAACTAAATCTACTATAAATTAACTCAAAACCTAGAACAAACGAGGACATATTTAGAGCGTCTCATATACCAAAAAACTTATCTCATATGCAATTACACCTCAGAAGATGTCTACTTACATACCGGAGCATCTTGTAGCTGACATCATTCGTCGTGTGGGAGAAGAAGATTTTCGTTTTCTTGGTCCTTTCATTGCCGCGGGACCTGCCTATAAGCAGCTTGTGTATACAAACGAGGTAATGCGTACTGCTAATCTTCATGAATTTTACGAGCATGGTGAATATGCACATGAGGACTCGATATATAGGCATTTCTTACACAAGTGCTTCGAGTATGGAAATCCGACTGCCAAATACATGGAATCTCTCCGGTTTCTGACACAAAAGGGTCCTTCTCAAGAAGCAATGGATTGTCTTGGTGAATCCGCTGACCATAGCATATTTGGTCATTATGCATTTGGCTTGTTGCTCATTTGCTGTGGAGCAGTTGCAGACGGTAAAGAGATATTGGATGGGTTTTTACAAAGGGTTGATAACTTTGCTCAAGGAGTCATGATCGCGGAACATGTCGAAGACGAGATTCGTGAAATGGGTCTACTTGGATTTCATATCTTTTGGGATTATTTTCAACCAAAACAACTTCGCCCGGTTTGCATGCTTTACCATCCTGTAGACATTCTCATTTGCAAACATTGTTTTGCCTTAACATACGCTACAAGGTTACGTAATATGTGTTAACCAACCTATATCTTTAGGCATCATTAAATTAGGGAGTGTTTTACGTTTAGTATGTAACTTATGTACTCGTATTTTTCATTGCTATATGTAAAATAACTCTATGTCGTTATTGTGGTTTTTGAAATATGTGTGAAGTTAAATTATATATAATGTCCATCCTTTAATTTAAATATATTTCTCTAACCAGAGTTGTGTAATGTAAGTAACTACACTAAGTCCAATGGTAGTTATTGACCAGAAAACACACTACAGGAAATTTGACTATTGATAGCAGAAAAGGATAGCGTTTTTGATGTTTATGCTATCTTTGAGTGTACCGTGTATTAAAGATAGCGTTTGGTTATTTGTAAACGCTATCAATGTTACAAGCGGGAACCAAAAAATTTGACGCGGGTCGAAGAAATTAGTAAACCGCTATTGAAAATTAAAAAGGGGGAAAACAAAATTTCGTTTTACTAAGGCACTCTCTTTCTCGATTTTTATCTAAGGCAAAATTAGATCTGAGAGAGACTCAAACTCTCTCTCGATTTCTCGCTTAGTTCTTCCGCCGTAGATGCGTCTCTCTCGATTTCCGCTCAGCTCTCACTCGATTCCTTACTCTCTCAACTTGATTCTCCCTTTCTCAACTCAATTTCTCAATCTGTAATTGGTTTCTCTCTCTCCCGTAACTCAATTTCTCTCTCTCGCAACTCCATCTCTCTCTCTCTCTCAACTCGATTTCACTGTGGAAACCCTAATCTAGGAGTTCACTCGATTTCATACTCTCTCTCACTCGATTTGGAGCTCGCAACAACTCGATTTCTCAATCTCAGTCGATTTCTCAGAAACCCTAACTAAGGTGGGTAATTGTTTTCGAATTTAGCTTTGCTTGTTCTCTTATGTGTTGTTGATATGTATTTCGGTTTAATGTGAGTGTATGTGGAGCTGTATTGTTGGTCTTGTTCGATGATGGAGAAGTCTTGGGTTTGGCTGCCAAGGTATGAAGTTTACAAGACTGTTTAATTGCTTATGAACTGTGTTACAGATTGCTTATGAACTTTTTAATGTTTGCTGCTTACAGGCCTAGTAATGAGTATCAGATAGGAGCTAGAAATTTTGTGAATGCAGCAACAACAAGTTTGGGTAATCCTAGTTCTATGTTATGTCCCTGCATAGATTGCCGGAATTTGTCTCATCAAGGAACAAAGACAATGTATGATCATCTAGTGATTAGGGGAATGGAGTTCCCATCGGTCCAGAACTAGAAGTCAACTCAAAACCGCTAAAAGGACCTATTATTTGCCCTATTAGGACCTATTATTCTAAAGTACCATTGGAGCTCCTTTTCCCGACAACAGATCGGAGATTTTACTTTCTCAAGTCATACGTCTTTTGTTCAGCCAACAGTGTTCCGCTCTACTTATTATTACTTACTAGCGCCCTTCACTTCAACTCATACATACTACTTTTTGACTTTCAGCTTATTCCCAAATCAAAGCTACTTGCTTATAAGAGAAGAGCAAGGTGCGTAGCTGGCTTGTTAAAAAGCATGGAAAGGTATCCAGAAAGCACAGTAACAGCTATGATATAGGCACCCTCTCGCCTAATACCCACTACTAAGGATTGAAAGTAGCACAATCGGCTATAGAACTCCAGATCTACGAATAGCCAGAGCCTAGCTTGATTACTGGAACTAAACAGCAAGCTGCTCCTACCTTACTTATCGATAAGGAGTACAGGGACTGAGTCGACTTCTTTTAGTTCTCTTTCCCCTAGCAGCCTTTCCTTCTTGCTTAGAGCTTCTATTCCTTTTGCATTGCCCATCATTCTACTCAAAAGAGGACGAAGGCTACTTTCGGGACATTGGTTGCAGCGATTTGTAGACCAATAGCAAAAGCAGCAACGATTTTTTTTTTTTTTTTTTTTTTTTTTTTTTTTTTTTCCTTTTTTT